TCTTTCGCATTCAGAATCTTTCAGTTCAACACCATTTAAAGTATATTTCAATCGCGGATTATTTGTACCATAATGCATTATAACACATATACTAGAATTAAAACCCAAGAGCCACTTTTTAGATCATTCCTCTGCACTATCCAGATCTTTTTGCAAGCTTTTTTCCACATTTATTTCATTCACTTTTGAAAGAATTTTTGTATCATCTGCATACAATACTGACTTATTTTTAAATATATTTGATATATCATTAATAAAAATAACAAATAATAAGGGCCCTATTACGGATCCTTGCGGAACACCACTAAAGACTTTGCGCCATGAAGAAACAGCATCACCTTGGATAACTCTTTCAATTCTGTTTTTTAAAAAAGCTTCAATCCATTTTAATAATAAACCACTAATTCCATATGAAGGTAGTTTAATCAATAGTCTTTTGTGAGCAACAGAATCAAAAGCTTTAACAAAATCTAAAAGTGCTTCATCTACCGAAATACCAATCGATAAATTAAATAAAATATAATCCAACGCCTCTAATAAATTTGTTGTACAAGACTTTCCTTTAACAAAACTATGTTGTGACTTCGATATTAAACTATATTTCATTAAATATGATTGTATGCAGTTTCTGACTATACCTTCTATAATTTTACAAGTAATTGATGTCAATGACAATGGTCTATAATTTGCAGCTTCTAATTTATTTCCTTTTTGAATAGTGGGGTAATATTTGCTGCTCTCCGTTGAGTTGGTAGTTCACTTTTAACAAAAGATTCTATAAAAATTAAAGTTAATGGCAATGCTACAGAATCGGAACAATTTTTCAAAATCAACGGAACAATATGTACAGAATCAACTCCATATGTTTTATTGATATCAACATGTTTCAATCTACTTAAAACCTCAAAATAATCTATATTTACTGCATCAGTAATAATATCCCCGAAATTCTCGATTTGCGGAAGCTCTTCTGTAGAATTTTCGATGGTAAACACATCTTTAAATTGTTTATTTAAAATTTCAACAATTTCATTTTGATCATTTGTTACGCAACCAGTTTGATCTCTTAATGCTTTAATTACTTGTTTAATCGTTTTTTGACTATTCACATATTTATATAGTAGTTTCGGATTTACCTTTGATTTTTCAGCAAGATCATTTTCATAGTAACATCTTGCTTTACGCGATTCTATTTTCACAGTTTTGCAAATATTTTTATATTTTATTACTTTATTCAAATCTTTCCAGTTCGATGATAAATTTTGATAACGCAAATTTTGTTTTGAACGTACTAGAAGACTTACTACATCAGTAAACCATGGATTATTTTTTCTTTTTTTTCTTGAATTTACGTCAATTATTGGAATAAAAGCATTACATGATTGACTAATTTTTTCAATAAACAGATCATACATAAATTGAACTGATAAACCATCAAATAAATAATTCCAGTCAATTTTATCAATACTTAGGCTTATTTGTGGATAGTCACATCAACTGTTATAAAATTTATACTTTGGATAATTTTCCATGGCAATAGCATCAAGGTTAAATTTGCAAGTTAAAACCAAATGTCCATGATTTATATTTCCTAAAACTGGATTAGACTCAAGTTGATAGACTCGTTCATTGTTTTTTGTAAAAATAAGATCCAAGGTATTTTTTGTAACATATTGTGCATTTTGAAAGGTTGGGATTGATACGTGTTGGTACAAAAAACATTCATATATAATATTAATAAATTCATTTTCAACAGAATCTTCACTTACTAAAATATCATTAACGTAGCTATTCGACCATTTTACATTTGGAAAATTAAAATCACCAATAATTAACAAATCTGCAAAATTATTTTTTTCTACTAATTTACAAGCTTCTGTGAATATTTGACTCATTTCAAGCATATTTACTTGTTCGCTTGGTCTGTACACGCAACAAATTAAACTTTTTTTATCATTTGCAACTATAATTATCAATATTTGTTCAATTTTACTTGTATTTAATATACCTTTGTTTACCTCATTAGATATTAGGTTGCTATCTATATATAGCGCAACCCCACCTCCTCTACGCCCATCCCCGCTTTTTCGTTTATACAAAGAATATCCTCCCAAATAAATTTCTTATTTCTCATTAAACCAGGTTTCCGTAATAGCAATTATTTGAGGATTTTTAAAACTGCATAAGGTTTTAAATTCTTCAACTTTAATTTTTATAACTGCATAAGATTTTAAAATCTTTTACTTTAAAGGTTAGATTCATTTTAAACATTTGTTTCAAATGAATCAAAACTAATGTTTTGACTCATTTGAAAAAAATATATCAAAACGTTAGTTTAAAAACTATTAAAAAATCAATAAAATCTTTGAGGAAGGTAAACAAGACGCTAAAAAATGACTTTTTGAGCTTTCCTGGCCACCCTAACATTAATGGTATTGTCGTAGCCCACCTTTTTAGCCAAAATTTTTTTTAATCAAAATAATTAAATATTAGTAACGCAATCCTGGTAAATTGTCGAACGGAGAGAGTTTTTTTTTTTTGATTTTTCACCCTCAGTAACTGACTTATCAATAGTGTTGAAAACTTGAAGCATGATCCAAATGTATGAAAAAAGGCTTTCAAGCTTCTTTTAAAAGACTAGATCAGGTAGCTACATTAGATAGCTTGCGTAAATATCGTTTTGAAAGCATTCTTAAAACGGTAAACTTCTGTTCACATCTCTCGGATGTAACCGTGCAAGTTCTCATGCTTTATTTTAAAAAAGGAAAGAACATTATTATTTAACTAGATTAAGGAAAATATGTTGTCAACAATCCTGCTTGTCACAAATTTTGAATTAAGTTGCTGGATCAGATTATCTAAATCAACATTAAAATATTCAACATTAATTTATTTGTTTGGCTATCATGGTAATATGCTGTGTTTGATGTCTCATCAAAAAAGCGGTTTAGCTTACACTTTCTTTTAGTGACAAATACAGTTTCAAATCCTTGCGATCTAATTACAACTACAGCTTCTTAGAAAATTTGCAACAAAAAGCTTCTTATCCGCTTAAGATTTTCCAGTAGATTTCTAATCAAAAGTTGCTCGTCAATCAAATTACAATTATTTTTGTGAGGATCGTCCATCGGCTAAGACTTATACAAAAAAATAAACGATTTGACATTTTTAAAAAGTACTTTAATCTCAATAGCTGATTCAACTGCAAGCACAGCAGCCAAATTCAGGTTGTGAGTGCTACAGGAACGTACAGAGCTTCTGAATAATTATGCTTTATTAAGGCTTGAGTTCCCTTGTAAGCACCTGGAATATTGGAACCATTACTGTGTTCCTAACCACGACATTTTTGACTATCCAAAATTAACCTTCAAATCACATTAGTGATAAGCTTAGTTATATCTAAACCTTTCTTTCTCTCAAAAGTTTCAACATACAAGTATTGTTCTTTGATAACAAAGGTTAACAAAGATAGATAAAATCTGTTCAGTGTGAGATATTTTAGGGGTACTGTCAACTTTGATTGTGAAGTAGATACCATCCTGAATTTCTTCGACATCTGCACTCTGTATAACACCATATACTTTGATGAACTCATTTTGAGATGACGAAGAGATATAATGGGCACTCATTCTGGAGCCCTTTTATTAATGGTGTCTTACAATTTCCAAGCAGGATGCAATGGCGGGGCTTTGGCAACTAATAAGCTCCACACCAGCAAGAAAGTTTCCATTTTCTTTTCCATTCACATGTGTTTTTTCACTTGCAAAAAAAGTTGTATGTAGTAGTTATAATTTAATTGTTGCAATATTTATATAAATAATTAAAGTTGATATTGAGAAAACTTTAAAACTTTATCCTTCTGATTTAAATGATTTACTTTGAAATTCATTTAGCTTAGCTGCAGGGGAATTGTTTAAGTCCCCCACTGATCCACAGTCCTTCAAATAACATATTGAGTGCAGTAAATTAAACATATTGAGTGAAGCAAAGATAAAAAAATCAAATATTTGACAACAGGCCAGGTCCTGGGAGAGGCAAGGCCGCATATTTGTCTCAAAAATGCAATGTTATGATTCTCTCTTATGCCTTAACAATCAAATGCTTCTTAAAAAAACAGCGCTTTTATCGTGAAATTGACAATCAAAATCGAAAATGACAAATTGTTTGCTTCAACTTCTTCAACAACCCATGGAACGCACTAACAAACAAAGTTGCCAGTGCTATCAGTCTTAACTGCTTCAAAGCAAAATTTGATCAGTTCCGTTATAATTACCACAGCAAACAGTCTTCTGTACAGTCGACCACGATCTAACTGCTAACTGTTCATGAGTTTAATGAACACTTCCATGTCCGTCTAATTCTACAACAGTTAAAACCTATTCTTTAAAAAACTTAATTAAAAGAAAAAATTAAAAGTTGTTTTTTTTAACTTGGATAAAGAGGACTGTAGTTAAAACAATTATAGTGAAGAAAAGGTCATGTGATCATGACATGTGATCACGACATGTGATCTGATTTTTTAAAAATATATATAATTTTTAAACTCATTTTTAAAATGGAATGTTCTTTAAAACTACTAATAACAAAATCTTTAAACTTCTCTACAAACTTTTCTTTAAACTGTTCTTTACTGAAACTCTCAACAAAATGATTGTTTAACTTAATGTTACGCTTGCATTTAATAAAAATAATGCTAACTTTGTATTTATTCATAAACTTTTGTTTTAATTTAATTTTTTTATTCTTACAATGCTAAATAATAAAACAACTTTTTTATATATTTTTAAAATGTTCAAGTGGTGAAACAGAATCCGCTTGATTGAATAATTTTTTAACAAAACTTTTAAATACTTTAATTGTCTTTAAACTTGTTTTGTTTTTTTTGTCTTATAAATATTAAAAGAAGTATTGAAAAAAAATTTTAATTTTATATTTTTTTACAATACTACTTTTAATATTTATTCTTTAATAATGTAAAAAAATTTTTTTATTAATATTAGGCAATGATGTCTCAATGTAATAATTGTTTTATTCTTCGGATTACTGTAAGTGTTTTTCCTTTTAATTTTGTTTGGTATTTTTTTTTCTTTATTTTATTCCATATGCATATAACTATTAGCTGTATTTTAATACCACCATTCGTCTTTGTTTTTTTTTTTTTTTAAACTAATTCACTCACAACAAGGCTAAAGCAAAGATCATTATGACAGGAGTCACTTAAAAACAAAAAATAGAAAAAAAGAGCAAGGAAACAGTTGACAGATGAAGTTAAAAGTAGTAAATTGTATGAGTCAGGAGAAAATAAAGATAAGAGAAAATTAGCGTGTATGAAAAAAACAAGATTATTTAAAAGTTTTAGAGCTTGAAGAAGCAGATACAGTAAAAGGATGTTAATTTGCTGAACTGTATACATTCCATTGCAAATTCAAGATTTTTTCATATACGGTTTATGAGAGTTAAAATTTAAATAATAACTTAAAAAAATGTAAAGTGGACAATTCAGTGAGGTAGTTATATAATAATAAACGACTTTTTAGAGTTAAAGTTCACAATTAACTGCAATTGCGGAGAGTTTACTCTTTTTTTATTTTACGAAGAGACATCAGATTTCAAATTCAAAAAACCACCATTATATATATATATATATATATATATATATATATATATATATATATATATATATATATATATATATATATATATATATATATATATATATATATATATATATATATGCCCAGCAGGCACAATGACGTTAAAATAACGTTGAAACGACGTCGCAAACCGACCATATGCCAAGTTGAAACAACGTTGAAATTTGGTTGAATTGGAAATAAAATCCGACGTCGAAAACTACGACGTTGAAACAACGTCGATGATTACGTCGTTTCAACGTTGATCTAACGTCTTATCGACTACATATCAACCATATTTCAACTTTGAATAGGTGATATATTCGATTGATACGTAGTTTTTAAGACGTTAGAACAACGTTCAAACAACGTAAATTCAACCTGGATTTTTGTTTTTTATTTTGGTTAAATCCAATTAACTATAAAATTATCTCAACTTTAATTGCAATAAAATAACACAATAAAAAAGCAATAATTTGCGCAGAGGATATTATATTTCACGTAAATTAATCAGATACAACTAAATTGCTTCAACGGACTTTATATACAATGCAAATAAAACAAAATGTTTGAAAAAAAAGTTTTATTTATCAGTAATATATTTATCAATTTATCAATAATAACTATTATCAATAGTTCCAGAACAACTAGGAAAAAGCATGAATGTTATACATCGGGTGAATCGCTTTTTACGCGCCGACCACCACCATTTGATCTGTCGAGTGCGTATTTTAATAAATTCATTATTCCTTTTCTTTTTTCGGCAACTGTAGCAGTCAATTTAATTGACAAAACTCTCTCTATAAAAGAGGTATTGCCTGAGTAATTTGCATTAAATACATCAAAAAATTAAAAATAAAATAGCATTAAATACCTATTGTGTGTTTCTTTAAACTTCTCTTTACCTTTACCGCCAGCCATATTAAATTTTGATTATAAACCATTGGTCAGCAACCTGCATTATACATTGTTATTATTATTATAGTTACATTAAAAATTGATAAACATGTCTTTTACAAAATACAAATTATTCTCAATCAAAAAATGCACAAACCGCAAAGGTTTCTTACTAAACCGTAATGCAAGTAAGAAAAAGAATTGATTCAGGGGAAGAGTTTGGTCCAAGAAGACCACCTTCTAAACGCAAGAAAACACCAAGAGCGGACAGTTTATTCAGAAATATCTGCATGGAAAACAGAAAAAAGCGACTATGCTTATCCATGAAGCTGTAATTGTTGTGTCAGACCGGACCATTTGTAGAAGGCTAAAAGAAGAGGGATTGATGTCCAGCCAAAAAAGTCAAAAATTGACAAAAAAATTTTAAAATATTATAAATAATGTTAAAAATCTTATATTTATGCAAGATGGTGCAACTTGCCACAAAATAAAAACTGTTATGGCTTAGTTGATTGCTATAGCCAGACAACTCGCATGATCATAAACCCATAGAAAACATTTGTGAAATAGTAAAGCAAGAGATTGGAAAAAATCTTACTAATAAGCAAGATCTTATGGAAGAGATTATCAAGATCTGGCATAATAACCCACAGTTGACAGAAAATAAATTGCAAGCATGCCACAATGCAATGAAGCAGTTATTGAAAATAAAAGTGTTTTTGCAAAATATTTATACTTTATATATATTTTATACAATTTATCATGTTAATTAATAAATATTCAAAATGTTAAACTTCTTTTATTTATTTTATTAAGTTCAACTTTATAAATAAAATAAAAAACTTTAAATTGCACCATTTTTGTATATATATATATATATATATATATATATATATATATATATATATATATATATATATATATATATATATATATATATATATATATATATATATATATATATATTTATATAAACATATATATATGCACATATATATATATATATACATATATATATATATATATATATATATATATATATATATATATATATATATATATATATATATATATATATATATATATATATATATATATATATATTTATAACTGCTTCATTGCCACAATGCAATGAAGCAGTTATTGCAAATAAAAGTGATTTTGAAAAATATTTATACTTTATATATATTTTATACAATTTATCATATTAATTAATAAATATTCAAAATTTTCAACTTCATTTATTTATTTTTATTAAGTACAACTTTATAAATAAAATAAAAAACTTTAAGTTGCACCATTATTGTATATATATATATATATATATATATATATATATATATATATATATATATATATATATATATATATATATATATATATATATATATATATATATATATATATATATATATATATATATATATATATATATATATATATATATATATATATATATATATATATATATATATACATATATATATATATATATATATATATATATATATATATATATATATATATATATATATATATATATATATATATATATATATATACATATAAATATATATATATATGTATATATATATACACATATATATATATATAAATATATACATATCTTTATATATATATATATATATATATATATATATATATATATATATATATACTTACATATATATCTATAAATATATATATATAATATATATATATATATATATATATATATATATATATATATATATATATATATATATATATATATATATATATATATATATATATATTCATATAAGCATATAAATGTATATATACATACATATATATGTATGTTTATTTATGTACATATATATAGGTATGTATATATAGAGTAAAAAAAAGATTAAGTATGCGTTAAAATCAACCTTTGTACTTTAAGGCTGTTCTTTAGTTCAAGGAAATACAAAAGTAAGAGAAAACAGTTACAAAAAAATAATAATAAGACATAAAAAAAAAAGATTTATTTTTTGTCTGATTAGAATTCGTCAAACTTTTAAAAATATACGCTACACTTATTTTTAACACAAGTTTAAAACAAACTATAATAAAAAGATTCAAAAGATTTTTTGTTTAAAACTACTTTTAACAAACCTTTGCATCACATTTTTTTGTATTTGTCATAGTGGTTTAACCTCCAAATTTAGAAAGTTTGTTAATCTAAAGGTTTAAGAAAATAATTACACCACATTATTTTTATAGTACATTTATAAAAAGTTACAAGTAGATTAACTCAGGCTAAGTTATTAATAAATACTTTTTTAAAAAACAATAAAAAAAACTGCAAAAAGTCATGGTTTGAAACAACCCATCATTTCTGACCTCACCCAAGAATCATTTAAACTGTTATCATAAACATTAAATTACTACTGCAAGTTCATCCATAGAATTTCAGAACTATTTGTCATGATATTGCTTTAATTACTGGAAAAAGTTTTTACTAACATCTCTTTTTAACAATAAAGATATATCAGAAAGACAAAAGAACCAAACATTAATTAATTTCCGAAAGCGTTGAAACACAAGAACAAAACAATTATAAAATAAAACATTATTCATAATTTAAATAAAATGTATTAATTTAGCAACCAATAAAATGTGTAACTCACTGAAGCATAGAAAAAAATGTTCAGAATCTTTTTTTCCTAAATCAACTTGCAGACAGACAATTAATACCTTCAGCTACAGTATGTTGAGTATGCATAAAAATTGTTTTCTGTTTCTTTTATTGCGTTACAGGAGTAGGTACTTGCTTACTCTTCTGTTGGTTATTATGTTTTCTCTTGCATAAGCATGGTAGTGGCTCCTATAAAAATTAATACCAAAATAAAACTAATAATACTTGAATTAAGTATCTTTTAAAATATTTATCGTTTTCTGAATCTGATTCTATCTGAGTATCACTTGTAGTGGCAAATTCAAATTTATCACATAACTCATGATCTAAGAATATTCATTCAATTTAAAAATGTTTTAAATGCATTATATAATAAAGAATATAAATAAACACTGAAAACAACATATACAGAACGAAAGCATGTTAAAAAAACAAGGAAAAAAAGTAATGACTTAAGGTTTATACAAAAAAAAATTACTTTATCTCCATGACATTTAATTTTGAGCAGCGTAAACCTGTATTAGATAGATGCGGCTTATGCATTTTATTGAAACAATTTATTACATTTAATGATGATGGCCAGCACAAAAAATTATTAATCGAATTTTCTCTCTTTATTTCTCTATATTTTCTATCCAAACAGCTTGATTGAACATTTTGCTTACCCTACTATACTTTTTCAACTGGAAAAGTATAGTAGAAAATATAATAGAAAAAATACTCATATATTAAAAATTTGTTCATGTAAAATAGCTGACAGAAAAATACAACTTTAAACTGTACGTTATAATACATTATACAGTTGCTAAAATTTGCTAAATTTTTATGTTGATCCTTCTACCAACCAATATCA